GTAGTAGTAGTAGTAGTAGTAGTAGTAGTAGTAGTAGTAGTAGTAGTAGTAGTAGTAGTAGTAGTAGTAGTAGTAGTGGTAGTAGTAGTAGTGGTGGTAGTAGTAGAAGTAGTAGTAGTAGTAGTAGTAGTAGTAGTAGTAGTGGTAGTGGTAGTGGTAGTGGTAGTTGTAGTAGTAGTAGTAGTAGTAGTAGTAGTAGTAGTAGTAGTAGTAGTAGTAGTAGTAGTAGGTAGTAGTAGTAGTAGTAGTAGTAGTAGTAGTAGTAGTAGTAGTAGTAGTAGTAGTCGTAGTAGTAGTTAAAGTAGTAGCAGTACAAATGTAGTAGTAGTAGTAGTAGTAGTAGTAGTAGTAGTAGTAGTAGTAGTAGTAGGAGGAGGAGGAGGAGTAATAGTAGAGGTAGTAGTAGAAGTAGCGTTAGTTAAAGTAGTAGCAGTACAAATGTAGTAGTAGTATAGTAGTAGTAGTAGTAGTAGTAGTAGTAGGAGGAGGAGTAATAGTAGAAGTAGCGTTAGTTAAAGTAGTAGCAGTACAAATGTAGTAGTAGTATAGTAGTAGTAGTAGTAGGAGGAGGAGGAGGAGGAGTAATAGTAGAGGTAGTAGTAGAAGTAGCGTTAGTTAAAGTAATAGTAGTACAAATGTAGTAGTAGTAGTAGTAGTAGTAGTAGTAGGAGGAGGAGGAGGAGGAGTAGTAAAAGTGTTTGTACATGTAATAGGAGTAGTACGTAATGTAGTGTAATTGTAGTAGTAGTTGAACGATTTGAATTCGATAGAGAAACACATAACAGTGGTGTTTGCATATGAATAGAATCGAACAGCTTTTAGATCGTTAACATTTCTTCCTTGGTTACTCTACGATTGCGATTTTAATTATGACAGGATTCTTTATTCTTTATAGCCGGGTGAATCTTCAAGGCCTATTTTCCGATATGGTATTGTATATGTTAAAAAATCTATCCGGACGCTATGGTTACCGGGTAAGTACTGAACCAAATCACGAATAACTAGAAGCTTATATTTTATTAATATCATTAACGACGTATATTTCTTTAGTAATATACTCTGTGTATATGTTGTTAATGAGCAACAGAAGTCCGCTAATAAAAATTGGATTCTCTCGTGTCACACACAAGTCAAAGTTGATTATGCGATCATTGGGCGGTGTCTGTATCAAATTAGGTCAACGGAAATTTCCATTTAACGAGTACATTTTACCTAATTAACGATATTAGACTTATCTCGATGAAGTTATAGTATTTCGTTCACTTATTGATATTATAAATATGCACAAGAAACAAATTTGTCTTCTGTGTAAAATTCTTAGTATCATAGTCTTTGGTCACTGTTCGAAAAAACGCATTATATCATAAAATAATAGGAGTTTCTTAACGTGATGTATTTCTCTACGACATGCATATGTATATATTCATAAAGTAACAGTGTCAGTTTGAATAATCAATGATAGCTATGCGTTGTATTATCGGTTAAAATATACAACTGTTGTATATATAGATCCCATTTACATGAAATTTCACCGATATACATTTTAATCAGTTCATTTCATTCACCTTAATCGTATAATAATACGCAAACGACACAATGGATGCTATGCAAATGTCGGAAATGGATCTTTTCGGGTTACATTTGACACGGAATAGTAATTATGTTTACGTAGGATCAATTGACCAATAATCAGCAGTGAAATAAAAAGACTGTCAAAACAATTATATGGCATTCAGTTTGCCATACCGACATGTTCAAACAGAAATATTCACTTACAGAATGTATTTGTTGAGTGAAAAACAAACAGGAGACAATGAAAAATAAACCATTGAAATGGCCATGATCAGATACAAATAAATACCTTCATGAAAGTATCAAATATGTGCCAGTATTTGTTGGTTGGCGGGTTTTAACTAATTACACATGACAATATCGAAGATGGCCAAGCACGTGATTATAATAGTATCGTTATCACAAATGAAAATATCTGAGATGTCCCAGCACGTGATTATAATAGTATCGTTATCACAAATGAACATATCTGAGATGTCCCAGCACGTGATTACAGGTGCCACTTGATCATACATAAAACATAAACGATTTCAACACCTGTCGATTCCACCTTTATCATACACTTGGTTTTTAGGAGATTAATTATTGGAAATTTGATATGCTATTCTCGTCGAGTTATTCAATGAAAACGCTAATACATCCTATCTTTCTCTTATTCCACCAGATACGTGGATTACGTTGTATAATAATTAACGCTAGGGAGAGCTATACAAACACACACAGTAATTACTTTAAAACAGGTTAACACGGTAGAACACATAAATCCGCTATGTTTTTTTTTTTATTCCTGTATTATCAGATGTGAATTTTTCTTGCTTACAAATTTCCCCTTTTCGTTGGATTTGCGGATCTCTTTACTGCGAATCATAATAATGATATTATGGCGACATTTACCAAGTGTACAATATTCCTCAGCAGTATGTATTCAGCGGAATAAAACTCATTGTTTAAAATCAATATTAAATAGATGGATCATCAGATAAGAACAAAATAAAGTACTAAATTCAAAAAAGGAATGGGAAATTGTTTTAATGTTTTTCTTTTTCATGTTCAATAAAACAGTGATTCACAAAGTGAATTACTAAAGAGATGTTTACATTATATTTGTTTACCTTAACCCCCCAGGAGATAGATTAATAGGAACACACAGTTCTAATACGAGTCTACAACTAAATACATACAAATCATTAAATATTTTTATTGATAATTCAAATAACGACAAGAGAAAAAAAATCTTACCATTCTTTAGAGGTTTGAATAAATCTGATTTCTTGCGGAACCATGGTAATATTCGTCCTATTTCTGCCTCCGTGCGGTCCTTCGGGTTCTTGTTGATAATGGCGATAACCTGATCATAGATGTGGGAAGCCATGTCACCAGACGGCATCTTTGACGTAGAATTGGTTTGGATGGCGCTGTCCGGTAAATGGGAAATGTCCACCCCTGAATACAAAGAGAACTTTCTCATTCTGACGGATGAAGTGGAACCAGATTGAATATTCATAATATACCGTTAATTAAAGCTTTTCTTGTCGGTCCAGCATCAATACATAGTGACTTCTCCCACGAGGTCTGCTATTTACGTGATGTTGTGTAAATACAAGATTGAGTTCGGCTTAAAACAATATATTAATATATGTATAACTGAAGTAGTAGTCCACAAAGGCAAATGGAAGCAGAACTGATGTAAACACAACGGGTATGTATCTAAGCTCAGTTTCAATATGTAGTAGAAGTCCACTTTGTCAAAAGCATGGTTTGATGATGGCATTGTAAATATCAAAACTAAAATCTGTTTATATCAGTTCCGTTACGTCAGTTCTCTTGTAAAACCATTTGTCACAGTTTCAACGTTAAGAAATATATGTCAGCTGAATAACATATTTCAGTTTGAAGTGGGATGTGTCCGACTTAAGCCAAGATTTATGGTTATGGAACGTCGCTGTTGTAAGAACAACAGGGGCCCTTTATCGTCGAGACAGTAATACTCAGTGTCTCCTCTAAAAGCTATCGTATCAGCTTTGCCGTTACGTGTAACACATTCGTCTGTATAAGTGTGCATTTACACCTATATCACATCTCTCGTTAATCCATGTTAGCAAATTAATAGGATAAATGCAATCTTTCTTTAAAAGTCTACATCGATACAAAAGAAAAGCAGACTGGAACAGATTTAATATTTATATAAATTAGGACCTTGCATACAAATCTGAATCTCTTATTGTGTATCAAAATAGCGAAAATAAAGACATGAATGAGAGGATAGCATAAATATGCAATCGAACAAAGAACATGTTCGTTCTTATAGCTATCATGTCACATTTATCGTTTTGAAATGTGCTAATAATACAATGATTCTATAAACAATATTAAAGTTGTTTTGTAAACACATCATGTTTACAGTGTAACTATTTTAAGCACGTGGCCATTGATACTTCAATTTCTCCAATGTTGTGTTGACGTGTCTCACATCACAAATATCCACATAAGTGTACGTGTACAATTCATCTGACGCATGGAACAAACTATAAAGCAATATTAATGAAACACAAGCCATAAAAATTCAAAACTCAACTGAAAATGAACACAAGCAACACTCATTTTAACGAAAACGTTTCTTAGGGCGCAGAAACATCAGCATTCTTGACAACAGGCTAGGGAACAGACAAAGCTCTCGATCTTTGTGCGATTGTGGTATTCCTATAGAAGGTTGTGAACGTTTCCGTTTACAGAGTCCAATATTGACCTTTAAAGGAGCACATATTAACCCGACTTCCACTTATATATCAAACCATAAACAATTCATCTAATTTTAGTGACAACGACCTAACAAACGAACAAAATATCTGTAATTGCAGATCGCACTCCTGCACAAGATTAGACCTAATGTATCACGCTGCATGTCGTTAAATGAAACATGATCCCAAAAGAATTGGGGACTTAATTTGGTGTCTTCTCTTTAGATGACATTATTGAGACCGAAATTGATCTGCTGTCCCTATTGCAAGACTTTAATATGTCTTTTATTCACTTTCCTGCCCTTTTTGACGATGTCATCATAGTCATCTGTTCTTATATGACCTTATTCTTAGTGGTTGCGAAGACGTTAAATCTTAAAGAAGCAATATTGCAGATCTGCAAAAGTTCATTTCGTTCACTAAGCGTTTGGACAACCAATTCGGTTCTGCCTTTTGAATCAAGGAACACAATCTTCCTATTCTCCAACCGTCCCCTTTACCTGCCATACAATCCTATAGCAAACCAAAAATAAAATTTCTGGAATTCTACAGTTTCTCTATCTTATCACACTTATACTCGTGACAATTAAAATAGTGTGTACCTTACGCAAGCTATTGCTATACAAACATGTATTGTCAACTTTCATTCCACATTAAACCCGATTCGTGCTACCATACGGACTTGCAAGAATGATTCATATAATATGATAGAATTTGTATCATAACTTTCCTTGAATTCAAATTACAAATGCTATCACTACAGAATTGCATATAACACAGTATTAAACAATATCTTTGCATGGAGGGAACGTAATTAAGATGTTGACAATAAATCTAAACCAAACTAAAAATTAAATGTTCACGTTGATATACACATACAAAGTGATATGCAGGCTACTTTTACAAACCAATCAATAACGGGTTTAGATTACTCAGAAAGCAAATTATACATAAAACTTGTGGAACCGACATTGAATGAACCGTGCAGGCCAAACGCTAGGATGTACAACCTTCGTGTGAAGTGGAACTCCGTCTGCTCTTTATAGATAACATGGTGGTGGTAGGTAGATTAGACTCCCGTGGAATACTGCTGTAGCAGACCCCTCTGTCCAGCATTGATTAGCACACTATGGTCAGCTACACTATAGCCTGATAAGTGCTGGGTTGTTTTTGATTTATTTACACTGAATTTAACAAATAAGGATTAAAAGTTCAGCCTATTGATCTGACATATAATCTAGCTTTACGCATACTGGATAGGACACCGGTTCAAGTGCATTACCAATGACCTACCGCCGTACAGAATTTGTCAATTTTTTGCTACACAACTTAAACTGTATGACGTCGGTGAATGACAAACATAACTTTGAAATTAACAATAAAACCTTTCTATAAAGACCGGATTTATGTAGAGAACAGCAGTATATATCGACAGGCTGTCTTCAAAATATCTTAGATAGTGCTTTCTATAGCGGAACACACTGTGTATAAAACCCCTTGTTTATTCAGACCGATTTTACTATCTCTCTTTAGCGGTCCTTATGGACATGTGTAATATATCTATGAATCCACCAAAACACATCCATAATTTGAACAAATGTACAATACATTGTCAAACATTACTTTAAATATATTTGGATATTCTACAAAGCTGTATACCATGTTGTTCATCGAGATGTATGCTATTGTATAACGAGGTACTCTGGTCTAGTGAAATATTCCCACTTCACTTGTGAATTCCATATTCGTCCAGTGTTCATTTCGTCATTCACATAGTAGAACCGTTATATATATTTGTACATTCGCCCACGTGGCGAACAGTGAAATGGTTAAAATGGAGAAACAACCACTTTGTATCAATAAAAGAGTGTACTAAAAGCAAAACAACCAATCATAATATTACATTGCTAACCCTTTCTAGATTATCCTTTTACTACCATTCCTAAACGGAAATACGTTTCCGTGTCTTTTCTTAACCATTGGATATTAAAACAAATGGTTAACACCCGTTTTTGTGTGCAACTATATATTAAGTTGCCTAATCGTCATCGTGGTACATTGTCTCTTCTATGTATCATAAGGGAACCCGAATTATTTCTATAGTTAAAGTTATGTTCAATACAAGCTATACTGACTGAACAAGGTAGAATGGTAGGTGTCTCAAGATAGACAGAGAATATACAGGTTGCACAAAAATTGTCGAACGGAGAAGGCGAAAATCAAAACGGTTGCAGTTGGTATAGCACACCTGTTCTTGTTTCTAAATCCTTAAGCAGAGCGAAGAGACACAAATCCCTGTGATGCAGCCTTGCATCGAATGCATCGCCTCGTACAATCATATAGTTGGATACTTACGTTTAGTATTTGTCCAAATCTACATGTGTTTGTGTAGGTAAGATTGTTCAAAGAAGATCAATGACATGACGTTACATAATATATAAAGTGGTATCACTCTAAAACGTTTAAATTGATAACATAAACAATGGTGGATTGTCAATCATTGCAAAACATTGAAAGGAAAACTTCTGGAAACCAGGGTAATTGATAAAGCCATTTCATTGCCGTTTTATACGAGTGTAGCCGTCAATAGTCAAATTGAGATGCATAGATGCCAATATACACAAGGGTTGGGGTTATTGATATCAAAAGCTGTGTTTATTAATTTCGAGATTTCCTTCATAACCGGTATTTTGAGTTCACTCAAGAGGTCATTGATTGTTGCGGGTACACCGATCAGAACGAACAATACCCGACCTCTATGTACAAACAGCTTAGACATGTCGAATGGGTGGATCACACAAAGTCCCTCTACACTCCGCTGTAGGTAATCCTGGGCACGGGACAAAAGGCTATACAACCAACTGTGTGTCACATGTAGAGGGATTTCTGACCGAGACACAGTAACAGAAAACCAATTATTGTTCGATATATACGAGCTGAAAATGACTAGTAAGGTTCTCTTCGACGAAGAAGAAAGCTGGTATGCTGGTAAATAGGAAAATGAGTTGAAAGTTCGTGTATATCTGAACTTATACAGCTTGAAAAAGGCACCGGTCGATCTGGAATCGTTGCGACACGTTTAATACGTACATTGTTTGTGTATAAAGTAAAACTTTGATATTACATATTTCTAAAACTGATGAATCTTATTGAAGTATTTCAGAATTTAATTATAATCTATTTTAGACGTTCACAGAGTACAGCAAAAAAGGTGATTTTTAACATGAATCTCAGACGTAGTGAATTAATTCAAATGCAACATGCACTACATAAACACAAAAGTCTGTGTGTCAACGAGCGATTCTCCTAAGACGTTCAAAGTTCAATTAATTCAAATGCAACATGTACTACATAAACACAAAAGTCTGTGTGTCAACGAGCGATTCTCCTAAGACGTTTCCAGTCTGCATTCCTCGTTGCTGTTGCACTACACATAAGACAAGGTTGCGAGATATTTGACATCATGTGACTACTGGGTTACGCATGTAGTACACTAACATGATGTGTGGTATTCGCGTCATAGTTCGTGTATAAACACCAAATGTGACGTTGTAATTTAATGAGCAGACATGACATGGCTGCAATAAAAGCAACAGACAGGAATTAAGATGACTACGTTAAGTTACCCCTAAGAAAAGTGATATGATTTAATTTTAACTTTGTTTCCAATTAGTTTCCTTAATCTAAAATAACACAAATCCGTTG